CTGAATTATTGGGAAGCCGAAAAATTGAAAAATCGAAACATCGAAAAATTAGCGAACAAAAAATCGAAAAATTTAAATATGGAGAAATCGAGACATAAAAAGACCTAGACAAATTGAAATAACCCAAAATTGCAAAATTAATAATTAAAAAAATTCAATAAAATCGATAAATCAAAAAATCAGAAAATTAAGAAATCGGTAATTGAAAAATTGAAACATTTAAGAACCCAAAAATTGAAAAGTCGAAAAATTAAGATTTTAAAAATCAAAAATCGAATTCCGAAAAGAAGAAAAATCGAAAATCGAGCAATCGACATATCAATGAATCGAAAAATTAAAAATTTTAAAAATCAGAAATTCTAAATATCGACAAATTGAAATGTTGAAAAATTAAGAAATCATCACAAATTTCAAAAATCGAGCAAAATTGAAAAATTGAAACATTAAAAACCCAAAAACTGGAAAATGAAAAATCAAATTCCGAAAAGTACAAAAATCGAAAATTGAACAATCGAAATATCAAACAATCGAAAAATTTGGAATTTAAAAAATCAAAAATTCTAAATATCGACAAATTGAAAAAGCCAGAAATTGAAATGTTGAAAAATTGAGACATCAAAAATTTCAGAAATCGAGCAATCGAAACATCAAAAAGTCGTAAAATAAATAAAATACCGACAAATTGCAACAATCAGAAATGAAAAACTCGCAAAATCGGAAAATCGAGAAATCGAAAAACCTTTTTTTAATTTCAAAATCGGAAAATTGAAAAATTAAGAACTGTAAAATTTAAAAAACTGAAAAATTGAAAAACCGAAATCCGAAAGTTGAAAAATTTAAAATCGAGCAATTAATAATTAAAAAATTTAATAAAATCGATTATTCAAAAAAAATAGAAAATTGAAAAATCGAAAAATCGGTAATTGAAAAATTGAAAATTTAAAAACCCAATAATTGAAAAATCGAAAAATAAAAAATTTAAAAATCAAAAATCGAAAAATCTAATTCCGAAAAGTAGAATAATCGAAAATCGAGGAATCAAAACATCAAAAAACCGAAAACTTGAAAAATCGGAAAATCGAGAAATCGAAAAATTTAAGATTTAAAAAAAATCAAAAAATCTAAGTATTGACAAATTAAAAAATTCGTAAAATTGAAATGTTGCAAAAATTGAGAAATCAAAAATTTGAAAAACCAAGAAATCGGAAAATTGAACAATTAAGAACTGTACAATTTAAGAAATTGAAAACGCATTAATTAAAAAATTTAATAAAAGCGATAAGTCAAAAATTCAGAAAAATTGAAAAACATTGAAAAATTGAAACATTTAAAAACCCAAAAATTGAAAAATCGAAAAATCGCACATTTTTAAAATCATAAATGAAATTCCGAAAAGCAGAAAAATCGAAAATTCGAGCAATCGAAAATTCGAGCAATCGAAAATTCGAGCAATCGAAATATCAGAAAATCGAAAAATTTTAAATTTAAAAAATCAAAAATTCTAACTACAAATTGAAAATTTTCCAAGATTGAAATGTTGAAAAATTGAGAAAACGAAAATTTGAAAAATCGAGAAATCGAAAATTTCAAAACTCCCCAAACTGAATTCTCAAAAAATTGAAAAATCAAAAAATTGGAGAATCAAAAAATCGAAAAACCTAAAAGTCGAAAAAGTGAAACATCAAGAAATCGAGAGATGAAAAGATCGAGAAGTCGACAGATCGAAAAATGAAAAACTGAAACAATGCAAAATCGAGAAAAAATTAATAAAATCGATAAATCAAAAATCAGAAAATTGAAAAATCGATAAATCCAGAAATCGGTAATTGAAAATTTGAAACATTTAAAACTCAAAAATTGAAAAATCGAAAAATCAAAACTTTAAAATCAAATTCCGAAAAGTTGAACAATTGAAAATCGAGGAATCAAAATATCAAACAATAGAAAAATTTTAAATTTAAAATAATCAAAAATATATGTAAATATATCGACAAATTGAAAAATCCCTAAAATAGAAATGTTGAAAATTTAAGAAATTAAAAATTTCAAAAATCGAGAAATCGAAACATCAAAAAGTCGTAAAATTTTAAATTAAAAAAATCGAAAATGAAAATAAAATGAAATAAAATACCGACAAATTGCAACAATCAGAAATCAAAAACTTGAGAAATCGAGAAATCGAAAAGCCGATTTTTTTTTCTTAATTGTAAAATCGAAGAATTGAAAATTTAAGAAATCGAAAAATTGAAAAACCGAGATCCAAAAGTTTAAAAATCTAAAAATTTTAAACATAAAAAATCAAAAAAATTAAAATATCGACAAACTGATAAAATTTTGAAATTGAAAAATTCCCAAGATTGAAATGTTGAAAAATCGAGAAATCGATAATTTGAGAAAACGAGAAACCGAAAATTTCAAAAAACGAAAAATCGAAAATTTGAAAATTCCCCAAACTGAATTCTCGAAAAGTTGAGAAGCCGAAAAATCGAGACATCGAAAAATTAGAGAATCAAAAAATCGAAAAGCCTAAAAGTCGAGAAATCGAGACGTGAAAAGATGAAGAAGTCGAGAGATCGAAAAATCGAGAAATTGAAATAATCCAAAATCGAAAAGTTAATAATTAAAAATTAAAAAAAACTGATAAATCAAAAATCAGAAAGATGAAAAATCGAATTCCGAAAAGTAGAAAAATCGAAAATCGAGCAATCGAAAAATTTTAAATTCAAAAAATTAGAAAATCTAAATATCAACAAATTGAAAAAAACCAGAAAATGAAAAATTCCTAAAATTTAAATATTGAAAAACTAAAATCAATAATTTGAAAAATCAGGAAATCGGGAAATCGAAAAATCGAATAGCCCAATTTTTATTTTTAAATTGTAAAATCGGAAAATTGAACAATTAAAAACTGTAAAATTTAAGAAATCGAAAAATTTGAAAACCGAAAAGTCAAAATGCGAAAGTTAAAAAGAAATCAAAAATTTCAAAATCGAGCAATCGAAATAACAAACAATCGAAAAATTTTTAACTTTAAAAATCTGAAATAAGAAATATCGACAAATTAAATTACCCAGAAATTGAAAAATTAAATTGAAATATTGAAAAATTAAGAAATCAAAAATTTCAAAATCGAGCAATCGAATCATCAGAAATTCTAAATATCGACAAATTGAAAAAAACAGAAATTGAAAAACTCCTAAAATTGAAATGTTGAAAAATTAAGAAATCAATAATTTCAAAAATCGAGCAATCGAAACATCAAAAAATCGTAAAATCAGAAAATTGAAAAATCGATAAAGCGAGAAATCAGTAACTGAAAAATTGAAAGACTGAATAACTGAAAAATTGAAAGACTGAACAATTGAAACATTTACAAACCCAAAAATTGAGAAATCGAAAAATCAAAAATTGTAAGAATTGATAATCGACCAATCGAAATATCAAACAACCGAAAAATTTAAAATTCAAAAAATCAAAAATTCTAAATATCGACAGATTGGAAAAACCAGAAATTGAAAAATTAAGAAATCAAAAATTTCAAAAATCGAGCAATCGAAACATCAAAAAATCGTAAAATTTAAAATTAAAAAATTAAAATAAAATAAAATACGCACAAATTGCAACAATCAGAAATTGAAAAACTGCCAAAACTGGAATGTTGAAAAATTCGGAAATCGAAAAATCGATAACCCGATTTTTTTTTTAAATAGTAAAATGGGAAAATTGAAAAATTGATAAAAATTTGAGAAGATCGTGCGGTCCAGGCATTGTATTTTTGAAGTAGTTTGAAATAAACTAAAGGCCCTTTTTTAATTACGAAAAAATCAGATGTTTTCTTTGAGAAAGAATTTTAAAAAATCTCACGAGCCCCGGATGTTTTGTTTTTGAAAAAATCCTGGCAACCCTAGAGTATTTAACTTTTTAATTTTGAAAATATTTTGAGGGCCGCTAACTCGTTTTTGAAATAATTTGAAAATGCTCTTGGGGGTCCTGGTGTATTTAATTCCTCAGATTCTCAAAACACCTAAATCCTCAAATCCTCATTATTTCGTCTATTGACAACTCTAATTTGCGTTAATACAAAAACAACAAAAATGAAGAGGGGGTAGGTGGGCGGGTCAACTGTTTGCCCATAAAAGATTCTCTAGAAAGAAGTTAAACATAGCCCCGCCCACCCACCCGTGTTCATTTTTTTTTCTTCTGAAATAAGAAATAAAGCAGAAGAGGAAACTTAAAACATGCTTCAAATCGTAAATTTTCCTAGAAAAATAAAGATTTTGCAATTAAACTCCACCCCTCTGTCTGACAACGAATGAAAAATTAATCACAACTGACATAGGGGCGGGTGGGTGGGGCTTAATTATTGGCTTCTTTTTCGTAATGTATACCTATTTTCAACAACACGACATTTAAAACATAATTCTAACCTTAAATTGACCGCTCTTAAAAACGACATAATCGTTCAAGACACTCTAGTACGCACTCACTCCCTCAGGAGCGACACCGAGAGCGCCGACGTCCGCCACCGCGACCCCCACAAGTTCCCCATCAAGCTCACCCAGTTCTTCAAGAAGAGCAAGGACAAGGTGGCCTCCACCGAGGACGTCGAGCCCAAGAAGCTCGACGAGGAGGTGAAGGAGCCGCTCGAGGGCGACGACGACCCCAAGGAGGCCGGCCTCGTGTACGCCGAGCTCGATCTCGTCAGTCCTAGCAGCGTCAAGCCCGTCGTCAAAAAAGACGACGAGAAGACCGAGTACGCGGAGATCGTTTACACGCCGCAAGACGGCGACAAGGCCTGAGTGTTTCCGGTGGATCTGTTTGTGTTTAGGGTAGAAGCGCCGCAAGTGCAATTAATTGTTTTTGTACAAATTCTGACAGACGCGTGTCGTTTTAGATTGTAGATCTGAGAGCACTTGACAACTCAAGAGATTCGTCCATAGGTTAAGTTGTGGTAGTCACTCGATGTACTTAATTATTACAATTTTATATATTTTTGAGTATTTTAAGGAGAATAAAGTGATTTTATTAAGTTTAGTAAGTTTGTTTGAGGGGGACAGATGTCGTCGGATTAAGCGAGGAATGGGAGAAGAAAAGTCCTGGTATAAGTTTGATTTAACAGTTTTTTTGTAAGTACTACTAGGTTTAAAATAGTGTGAGAATTAGGCTTCTTTTTGGATTTCGCCTAGAGGGTTGCCCAACCATGGGTACACGTCTGGGCAATATCCGCCATCTCTGACACACATGGTTAGGTACCTAACCTCCCCGGCGGCGGTCCGTAAGTTACAAGTATTTGGATAACACTCAGTTTCTGGTGTTGTCACAGCTGTTTTAAACTCGCTCAACGGAACTGGATTTTTCGCCCAGTCTACAACTTGCTTCAAATTGACAAGGAATACATCGTCCATGGTTCCCACCGTATCTAAAAATTTAGCGAACCCGTAGTAACTATTGTCAATCATCCGGAACCAATCTGAGGGTACGATCAGTGTTATTGGAGCTCTGTTATAAGAACGTCCAAGCTCTATTTGCTCTAGTAACCACTCAGCGATCTCGTCACTAGTTCCGCTAAAACAACTATAAGTAGAGGAGAGTACAACCACGCATTGTCAAACGTACTTCACGTAGCAGGTGCTAAGATTGTTACAGTCCACCCAGGAACCATCATCCCTATAAACATAGCGATCTATAATCGGAGCGACCCAAAACCCAGGGTGCGACTGTATGGGACAAGTGGTACCAAGCCGACACTCCTGATGCGACAAATAGTCAAGAGTATACGGAAAATATCGATCTGAACTGGTAGACGACCACGAACTGTCGTACTCAAACCCAGCAGCCACATAGGCGTCTATAGAAACGTCGCCTTGTAGCTGGAGTTGTGGGGTTCGCACACCCACGATATCTTCCCCAGGGATGGTAGCAAAGTGGGAAATGATGGTTCGTTGTCCGTCGAATTCTTGTACGAGCGTATCTACTGACGCAGTCGCCCAATACAACTCCGAATAGTTCGAACTGAAATCACCATAATCACAAAAGGAAAACAACGTTTTTGCTAATTTCGTACGTTATGGAGTTTACGCCGATTTCGAAGCCGTTTGCGTACAAATCGTGGACTCTGCGGTAGTCGCTGTACTCGTGGGGGACGAAAAACGTCGCACTTATGGGGGCCCCGTCGGGGTTTGTGCGTCCGAGGAGCAGTGGCGCCCACAGATTAGTGTATAAATCGTCCGTGACGGATTCACTGAAGGTTAGACTTATCAACTGAAATTAATTAAATAATTTACAATAGAAATAGCTACGGGTTTCGTACCTGTGGCGTTTCTTCAGTCGGAATGGGAGACTTTTTACTCGTACACACACAATTGTTTTCAAGAAGGCAGAAAGGAACAGGAGGCAAACAAATTTGTGCTAGTTCACCTGATGTAAATGCCACCAAAGTGGCAAAAACGCCAACCAAACACACAAGAACTACTTTCATTTTGATCGGTTTTCGAAATACTGAGGACCGAAGGGATCGCCCGTGTTTATATACGGTTTTACGAGAGGACAATGGATTTTTTGAGATAACATTGTAGGTGGCGTTTTCAAGTGGCGTGTTACCGGAGGCACTTCAGAGTACTGCGTATCTGAAGAACATAAACATCGCAAAATTGTTTACGTAACTTGGCTACATTACACTGACAAGTCGGTTTTATGGTAGGCGGCACTTGTCGACTGGCTTATTTTAATATCATTTTTTGAAAAATTACATTTCCAAAGAGTTTTATGTACTACGAAATTATAAAAAAGCATAATTGGTGACATTAATCTGATAAGATTTCGATGATCGTAAAGACACTCCACATTTCTTTCTGAGTATTTGCCTTGAAATCGACTTAAGATAAATTCCAAGAACACATTTTTCAAAACACTTTAAATGCAGTGTGTATTATCATTCATTCTCTGGCATTTAGGTCGATTTTTTCTCAAAGTAAAAGTCACCTTTGGCTTAAAATTGGCATCTCGACGGAAGCTTACGACATCCTATTCATTTTTGAGTTGCACTTACTAATGTTATAACCGGTTTAAAAAATATACAGGATATGATACATCATTATAGAATGCATATCCTGTAAATTAATTAAGAGAAGGGTCTTTAAAATTAGAAGCAATCTTTTATAAATTCAATATTAAAGATGATCACGCTGTATTTTAATTGTGTTGTGGCAATATGTCAAAGTTCCATTTTTTGGCGATATTTTAATAAAATGTTGGCAATCCTGTTTTATTAAATAAAACACTTCTTGCAGCAAAAAAAACTAAGATAATAGTTTTATTATTTAAATAAATTATGTTGGCAACCCCAGTGCGTTCCGTGCTCGGTTTGACAGCTATGGGTAAATAATTGTCAAACGAGTTGTCAAATGAAGTGTGGAAATACAATGACTGTATTAAAAATAAAAATGTCAAAACTGTTACTTATTGAAAGTTTCAGTCAAAATACCGGGTGACAGTTTTTGACGACTTTAAATCATGAATGTTAAATTTATAATCATGTAATTTAGAAATGTTGCCAACCAGGCAAAAAAATCACCAGAAATGACTGAGTCTGTTGGCAATCCTGAATTTTTAGTGGGAATTGGCATCATGGGTTCTATAATTTCCTGTTGTCAGCTGTCAAAACTGACTGATTGTGGTTGACATGTTTTCATAACACAACCTAAATTCATCGCATGTCACGGTTGACACACCTGTCACAGAATTACTTCCGTTATACCAACATAAACGCAAGAAAAGTTCACATTTTTATTTCAAAATGACTGCACACAGATTCAGTAATTTCTGATCACGTGGTATCTGTCAAAAGAATGTTAGGACACAAATCAGGCATAAATTTTAAACACAAAAGTTGAAATAACGTTCCAGATTTATCACGTTTTTCTTTTGATTGGTACCACTGATGGTGGACTCACTCTTCAGCACGTTATGTACGGGGGTTGTGGGCGTGGCTAGTAATTGCTAAGACAAGACTAATTTTGGCAAGTGAGATACCTTTTAAGAAAAGAGGGGGCGGGTGGGCGGGGCTAATACCTGCTAAAATAAGACCGATTTTGGCAAATCACATCCCTCTGTGGTAACGAAGTTTGAATTAAAATTTCACCATGAAAAAAACAACGGCGCCAAATCGCATTTGAATAATTTGAATTTGAAAATTTAATCAAGAAAATCGTTAAACATAGGCAACCATGTGCAAGTTTAGTTCTTTTTCTGATAGTTGGTAGCTCTTCTAGGGGAATTTGTAGGTAATATCTGGTGACAGGTTGCTAGTGAAGTTCACTTGTTTGCTAGAAATGGTGTAAATTGGATTTATTATTTGTAAATTCACAGTTAATGTTAGGATTTTCATGGTCAACTGGTTCTAACACAATTTAACAGTCATGAAATTGTTTAGATAAAGCACTTGCTAGATTTCACGAGATTCACTTACTCATGACTCACCCTTTCTTTATCAAGTTACAAATAAATATGGTTATACAGTGTTACATTATAACAATTCTTAATTCCCCACACAAGATTACTAATAGTTCATTTACGGCAGTAAAATTAACCTAACATTGTCCCACTCTGGGGAAAAGGACCGTGGAAAGTGCGGTAGAATTCATAATATGGGATCCATTGTGTTTATTTATCATGTGTTTGTTTGGGATAAGCTGGGGACAGTCCACGATATAAACTGTCGAAGCTAATGGTTTTCAGTAATAAAGTGTGGCATAATTTAACATCATGTAAATTCTTTGCAATTTTTCTGTATATCTCAGTGACTTTCTGTGTTGTATAATTTAAATTGAACGTAAATTTTCGTGCCTTACAGTTCCTAATCTCACGTAATTTTTTTATCTGCACAGGTTTTACGTCGCACCTGATCTTTTTTGTTTTCATAAAGCTACTAGTTATTTCTACCACGGAAATATTTTGTTGATTAATGCTTCCATCATATAAATTGTCTGATGCCCAATCTTAATTTCACATAAGAATCCTTTGCTGTTTCAAATTTCACGAGAGAGTATGGCAAATTTAAATGTTTATTGCTCTTTTTTGAAACTTTAACGCTTGTTCGGTTGAATAACAGTTATAGAAATTGAACATTTAAAGGGAATTGAGGTAAATAACACACAGACACGTGGTGGAATCGGAGGGCGCGGTTCCTTGTCGAGCTGGCGGTCGCAGTACCTTTCTTTATGAGAGAGGGGTGCTGGGTGGCATGTCCTTTTCGATATAGTGGAATCACCGTGGTGGTGAGAGAACAGCCACAACCAGGAGCCCCAAATTCCGCTCCCTATGGGTAATTTTGCTGTGCTCTAGAATAAAATTGATGTAGTTTGGTCGCCACTTTGTTAAACGATCACAGCCAACTAAGAATATTGAAATCGTAATAACTCAATGGGTTTTTCGGGAAAATGTTTTGGAAACACTGTGTTCTATTTTGTATGAATTTTTAAATGTTTTTAGTGACAATTTTTGTGGTTGTTTTCGATACACTGTATGATATTAACAGTGAGAAAAAAAATTAAAAATTAAAATAATCGAAAATTCGAAAAATCGAGAAATCGATAAATCAAAAGATCAAGAAATCGTGGAGTCGAAAAGTCGAACAATTGAAAAACTGAAATAGTCCAAAATCGAAAAATCGAAAAGTTAAAAATTGAACAATTTATAAAATAAGAAATTGACAATCAAAATACCGAAAAATCCAAATCTCGATAAATCGCGAAATCAAAAAACTTAAACATTCGAAAAATTGAAAAATTGAGAGATTGAAAGATTAAAAGAACGAGAAATCGAAAAGTGATGAAGTCGAAAAATCGAAAAATAGAGAAATCGACAAACAAAAAGTTTAAATTTGAAAAATTGGAAAAGCGGAAAAATCAAAAAACGAAAAAATGGAAAACTGGAAAAACTGAGAAACCGAAAACCTGAACAACCAAATCTCGATAAATCGGAAATGAAAAATTAACAAATCGAAAAATTGAAAGATTAAGAAATATTGAAAAATTAAAATATCAAAAGATTGAAAAATCTAAAATTTAAAAATCCAAAAATTGAAAAATCGAAGAAGTAAAAAGGTAGACACATCGAAAAATCCAAATTGAAAAATGAAAGAAAAACTAAAAATGTGAAACTAAATCGGGAAATCAAAACGTTGAAAAATCGACAAATTGAAAACGACAATCGAAAACAGAAAATCTAAAACTGGGAAGTCGAAAAATCGAAAGATTAAACAATCGAAAAATTGAAAAATCGAAAAAGTAAAAAAATCGACACATCAAAAACTCCAGAAGCCAAAAATCGAAAAGTCGAAGAATCGAAATATGGAAAAATTCCAAAACTGAAATATCGAAAAACTTAAAAATGAAAGAAAAACCGAAAACTGAGAACCTAAAAATTCGAAAACTTGAAAAACTGAAATGAAAAATCGAGAAATCGAAAAATCTAAAATTTTAAATATTAAAAAATTAAAATAGCAAAATACTGAAAAATCTAAAAATTTAAAAATGGAAAAATTGAAGAGAAAAACTGAAAACCGAGAAATTGAAAAATTGAAAGAGATCGTTCTGGCGATATGCGGTTTACAATATGGTAATGAATTTTTGAGATAACATTGTGGGTGACGGTTTGAAGTGGCGTGATGGCAAAAGTACATCAAGTACTACGTATCTGAAGTACGTAAACAATCACACTCTGTTTTACGTAATGACACTCCCACAGCATCATAAATATGTTAAACATTCACGAATTTTCTTCGTGACATTCTTCAATGTTCGGTTTGTAGTAAGCGCTTTTTTCGAAAAGGCGGCACAAACGTAGCGCACGTCGTTTTTGTGGTGAGCGGCACTTGCCGAGTGGGTTATTTTCTTGATAAAGTTTGAACAACGTTTCACTGGAGTACACAATTTTAATGTTGAATGAGGTAAGAGTTGATAAAATGAAAACAGAAAATGGGCAGAATTTTTGCAAACAATGACGAATATTTATTTAATAATGACATTGTGTGTGATAAGATTTCACAGAACGGAAAAAGCACTCCAGAGATTTCTTTTTATTTATCGTCCTTGAAAAACACTTGTCCGATAATAATCAGTCTCCTGTATATTTTAAACCATTTGTTGCAAGCTTATTGTCATTTCTTGTATTGTTTAAATAAACTAATTTTTCTCTGATAACACGATAACCTTTGACGTTGATTTGACAACTGAAAAACGTTTGTGTAGGCGAACATATTGACTATAGGAATAATTAACTGGAAATTAGAAAATGTTGTGTATATAGATATATTAGTTCTGTAGTTTATGATTCCGTGTTGAGTTTTTACCCGAAACGTCCAAATTTTTCGAAAAAAATTGGTCGACGGTTATTTCGACAGAACCTCCCTCGCCATAGAAGTGCAGAAAAATTGAAAAACTGCATAAATTTAGATTTTAAAACACTTTAAAAATCGAAAAATTCAAAAATCCAGACATTGAAAAATTATAAAATCGAAAAATCGAAACATTGAAATCTCGGTAAATCCAGAAATCTAAAAATCGGAAAATTGAAAAATAAACCGAAAAACTGAAAAATTGAAAGAAATGAAATTTTGAAAAATCAAATAAATATGCCACAAACCAAACAAATTTAAAAACCTAAAATCACGAAAGTCGATAAATTGAAAAATCGATGTCAAGATCCAAAATTCCAAGAATCGAAATATTGATATATTGAAATAATTAAAAAATTCGGGAAATCGAAACATCACAAAGCCGTAAAATCTAAAAACTGAAAAAGGGAAAAATGTAAAATTTGAGAAATCGAAAAACTGAAAAATCGAATAAACAAGAAATGGAGAATTTGAAAAATCCCCAAACTGGATTTTCAAAAAAATTGGTAATCGAAAAATTGAAAAATCGAAACCGAGACATGAAAAGTTGGAGAAGTCGACGGATCGAAAAATGAATAATCAAAAAATTTAATAAAACCGATAAATCAAAAAATTGGAAAATTGAAAAATCGATAAATCGCGAAATCGGTAATTGACTTAAAAATCAAAACATTTAAAAACGTAAAAATTGAAAAATCAAATACATATTTTAAAAATGAAAAAATTAAAAAATCGAAAAATTTAAAATGTAAAAAAATCAAAAATTCTAAATATCGACAAATTGAAAAAACCAGAAATTGGAAAATTCGAAAATCGAGAAATTAAAAAATCGAAAAGCCAAAAAACCGAAAAATCGAAAAAACAAAAAACAGAATTTGAAAAATCCCCAAACTGAATTCTCGAAAAATTGAAAAGCCTGAAAGTCGAATAATTGAAACATCGAGAAATCGGGACATGAAGAGATCGAAAAGTCGAGAGATCAAAAAATCGAGAAATTGAAACAACCCAAAATCGAAAAATTAGTAATTAAAAAATTTAATAAAATCGATGAAACAAAAAATCGGAAAATTGAAAAATCGATAAATCGAGAAGTCGGTAATTGAAAAATTGAAAAAAGATTGAGAAATTAAAACATTTAAGAACCTACAAAGTGAAAAATCGAAAAATCAAATTCCGAAAAGTAGAACAATCGAAACATCAAACAATCGAAAAATTTTAAATTTAAAAAATCAAAAATTCCAGATATCGAAAATTAAAAAAAAACACAAAATTGAAAAATAAACCGAAAAACTGAAAAATTGAAAGAAATGAAATTTTGAAAAATCAAATAAATATTCCACTTACCAAACAAATTTAAACATCTAAAATCACGAATTCGAAAAATTGAAACATCAGAAAATTGAAAAATCTAAAATCTAAAAAAAGTTAAAATATTGAAAAATCGAAAAATCGATGTCGAGGTCCAAAATTCCAAGAATCGAAATATTGATATATTGAAACAATAAAAAAAATCGAGAAATCGAAACATCACAAAACCGTAAAATCTAAACACTGAAAAAGGGCAAAATGTAAAATTTGGGAAATCGAAAAACTGAAAAATCGAATAAACAAGAAATGGAGAATTTGAAAAATCCCCAAACTGGATTTTCAAAAAATTGGTAATCGAAAAATTGAAAAATCGAAACTGAGACAAGAAAAGTTCGAAAAGTCGACGGATCGAAAAATTAATAATAAAAAAATTTAATAAAACCGATAAATCAAAAAATCGCAAAATTGAAAAATCGAAAAAACAAGAGACAGAATTTCAAAAATCCCCAAACTTAATTCTCGAAAAATTGAAAAGCCTGAAAGTCGAAAAATTGAAACATCGAGAAATCAAGACATGAAAAGATCGAAAAGTCGAGAGATAAAAAAATCGAAAAATTAAAACAACCCAATATCGAAAAATTAATAATTAAAAAATTTAATAAAATCGATAAAACAAAAAATCGGAAAATTGAAAAATCGATAAATCGAGAAATCAAAACATCAAAAAGTCGAAAAATTTAAGATTTAAAAAAAATCAAAAAATCTAAGTATCGACAAATTAAAAAATTCGTAAAATTGAAATGTTGCAAAAATTGAGAAATCAAAAATTTGAAAAACCAAGAAATTGGAAAATTGAACAATTAAGAACTGTACAATTTAAGAAATTGAAAACGCATTAATTAAAAAAATTAATAAAAGCGATAAGTCAAAAATTCAGAAAAATTGAAAAACACTAAAAAATTGAAACATTTAAAAACCCAAAAATTGAAAAATCGAAAAATCGCACATTTTAAAAATCAAAAATGGAATTCCGAAAAGCAGAAAAATCGAAAATTCGAGCAATCGAAACGTCAAACAATCGAAAAATTTTAAATTTAAAAAATCAAAAATTCTACATATCAAAAATTTAAGAAAAAACACAAAATTGAAAAATAAACCGAAAAACTGAAAAATTGAAAGAAACGAAATTTTGAAAAATCAAATAAATATTCCACAAACCAAACAAATTTAAAAATCTAAAATCACGAAGTCGAAAAATTGAAACATCAGAAAATTGAAAAATCTAAAATATAAAAAAAATTTAAATATTGAAAAATCGATGTCGAGATCCAAAATTCCAAGAATCGAGATGATATATTGAAACAATTAAAATAATCAAAACATTTAATAAAACCGATAAATCAAATAATAATCGGAAAATTGAAAAATCGATAAATCGCGAAATCGGTAATTGACTTAAAAATCAAAACATTTAAAAACGTAAAAATTGAAAAATCAAATACATATTTTAAAAATCAAAAAATTAAAAAATCGATAAATTTAAAATGTAAAATAATCAAAAATTCTAAATATCGACAAATTGAAAAAAACAGAAATTGGAAGGTTCCTAAAATTGGAATGTTGAAAAATTAAGAAACCGAAAATTCTCAAAAATCGAGAAATCGAAAAATTCAAAAATCGAGAAATTGCAAAATCGAAAGCCGAAAAACTGAAAAATCGAAAAAACAAAAAACAGAATTTGAAAAATCCCCAAACTGAATTCTCGAACAATTGAAAAGCCTGAAAGTCGAAAAATTGAAACATGGAGAAATCGAGACATGAAAAGATCGAATTAATAATTAAAAAAAATTAATAAAACCGATAAAACAAAAAATTGGAAAATTGAAAAATCGATAAATCGAGAAATCGGTAATTGAAAAATTGAAAAAAGACTGAGAAATGAAAACATTCAATAACCGAAAAATTGAAAAATCGAATAATCGAATTCCGAAAAGTAGAACAATCGAAACATCAAACAATCGAAAAATTTAAAATTAAAAAAATCAAAGATTCCACATATCGAAAAATTAAAAAAAAACACAAAATTGAAAAATTCCTAAAATCAAAAAATCCATGTCGAGAAATCCAAAATTCGAAAAGTCGAACAATAAAAAATCCGGAAATCGAAACGTGAAAAATGGAAAAATGGAAAATTTAAGAAATCGAAGAACTGAGAAATCCAAAAAATAAGAAACAGAGAATTCTGAAAAATCGCCAAATTGGATTCTCGCAAAATTGAAAAATTAGAGAATCAAAAAGTCGAAAAATTCAAACATCGAGAAATCGAGGCATGGAAAGATCGAGAAGTCAAGGGAGCGAAAAATCGAAAAATTAGTAATTAAAAAATTGAAAAAATTGAGAAATCGAATTCCGGAAAGTAGAACAATCGAAATAAATTTCGACCAATTTTTTTCAATAATTGTTTATTTTTTGTTAAAAACTTCCGATACATTTTGGAATAATTTACGGTATATGTTGTTTTTAATAAAGTTATTATTTAAATAATAATAGTAGTAATAACAAATATTTAATGACAGAGGGTTTCAAGATAAAATTTTGTAAGAACTAGTCTCCCTTCTGCTTTTCGCCTAGAGGATTCCCCAGCCATGGGTACACATCTGGACAACGAGCGTTAGCTACGTAACAGATGGGCAGGTACCTAACATCACCAGTTTCTGTCGTTTCGACACAGATATATTTACTGCACTCAGTTTCTGTTGGTATCCCAGCTGTTTTAAACTCATTCAGCGGAACCGGATTTCGTGCCCAGTCAATAACTTGCTTCAAATTGACAAGAAATACGTCGTCCATGGTTGCCACCGCGTCTAAAAATTTAGCGAACCCCTGGTAACTATTTTGGACATTTCGGAACCAATCGGACGGTATTATTATTGTTACTGGATATCTACTGCCAGTACCACCGTGGGAGCCAGCAGCTATGTTGTATAGCAACCAATCAGCAATCTCGTCTGCAGTTCCGCTAAAACGACAATTAGATAATAAGAACCCAAAAAAATGGGTAGTTCCAAGCGTACGTAACATTGCAGCTTCCGAGATTGTTACAGTCCATCCAGTCCATGCCTCCACATCCCTGTCGATCTACTATGGGGGCAATCCAAAACCCGGGATGCGACTCTACGGGACAAGTGGTACCTGTCCGGCACTCCTGAGTCGACTTATAGTCAAGCGTGTACGGATAGACGTCGAATCTACTATCCGACGACCACGAACTGTCGTACTCAAAACCAGACGCCACATAGGAATTAATAGAAACGTCGCCTTGTAGCTGGAGTTGTGGGGTTCGCACACCCACGATATCTTCCTTAGGGATGTTGGCAAAATGAGAAATGATGGTCCGCTGTCCTTCGAATTCTTGTATCAACGTATCTACTGACGCAGTCGCCCAATACAACTCCGAATAGTTCGAACTGAAATTACCATAATCACAAAAGGAAAACAACGTTTTTGCTAATTTCGTACGTTATGGAGTTCACGCCGATTTCGAAGCCGTTTATGTATAAATCGTGAACTATGTAGTAGTTGGTGTATTCGTGGGGAACGAAAAACGTCCCACTTATGGGGGCTCCGTCAGGATTTTTGCGGTTGAAGAGAAGTGGTTCCCAAAGATTGTCGTATAAATCTTCCGTGACGGCTTCGCTGAAGGTTAGACTTACCAACTGAAAGTTAAGTACCTACGTTAACGAAGAAAAAGACATTGATGATTTCGTACCCGTGGAGTGTCTTCAAACGGCGAAATAGGAGACTTGCCAGTTGTACATGCACAGTTATTTTCAAGAGTGCAGACACTAGAATTGCATTCTTCTGCTAGTTCGCCCACTGAAGAGGCAAAAATACAAACTAAGTACGCGAGAAGTACTTTCATTTTGAATCGTTTCCGATGCACTACAGACCACAAAAATCGCTTCAGTTTATATACAGTTTTACGAGATGATGATGTATTTTTTGAGATAATATTGTGGGTGACAGTTTCAAATGACGTGATTGGATAGGTACTTCTCACTAGTACGTATTTGAAACACGTAAACAATTGCAACATGTTTTGGTAAGACCCCATCAAAAATTTCTTAAATATTTCTTTCTTTCTAAAGTTTGAAAAACGTTGCACTGGATTCACAATGAAGAAGAGTCGACCAAAGTAAAAATAAAGACCAAACAAGGCTTATGAAGCCCATCTATTAGTTTATTCGCTTTAATGTATTATTGATACCGTTTTCAAATTACACCAAAATTGAAAAATCGAAAACTTAATAATTGAAAAATTGAAACATTTTAAATGAAAAAAATCGGTGAACCGAAAAATTGAAAAATCTATAAATCGAGAAATTGAACAATCTAAAAATTAAACAATTTAAAAATCGAAGAATTGGAAAACCAAATCCTTAAAATTCGTCAATCACCAAATCCTCAAAACAACAAATCCTTAAGTCCTCAAAATCCTTAAAACACCCAATCCTCAAAATCACCAAATTTTCAATTCTTCAAAATTCTCAAATGCTTGAAATTCCGAAATTCTTAAAATCCGGGAATCACCAAATTCTCAAAAATCAAATCCTCAAAATATTCAAATTCTCAAAAAACTCACATCGGCAAATCATCAAACTCTTAAAATCACCAAATCCTCAAAATCGTTAAAAATCTCAGATCCTCAAATCATTAAATTTGCAACTACTTGAATCACCAAATCCTCACAACATCAAATCTTCAAAATCCTCGGATCCTCAAATCGCCAAATCCTAAAAATCCTCAAATCACCAAATCTTTAAAATCCCCAAAACCCTCAAATCTTCAAAATCCTCAAACTATTAAAATCCGTAAGTCACCAGATCCTCAAACCACCAAATCATCAAATTCTCAAAACTCTCAGATCACCTTCCCAAATCACCAAATTCTAAGAATCCTGAAAATCGTCAAATTACCAAATCCCTAGACTCAAATCATTAAATCCGCATAATACTCAAATCACCGAATCCTCAAAATTTTCAAAACCCCAAATCCTCAGATTCTTAGAATTCCCAAAACCTTCAAATCTTCAAAATCTGTAAATCACCAAATTCTAAAAATTCCCAAATGCTCAGAACATGAAATCTTCAGACCGTCAAAACACCAAATCTTGAAAATCCTCATACTAAAGTCGCCAAATCCTCGAAAGTGTTAAATCCTCCACATATTTAAATATCTCAAAAGTTCTCAAAATCCGCAAATCAAATCTTCAAATCCTCGAAATACCAAATCCTGAAAATCCGTAAATCACCAGATCTTAAAAACATCAAATCCTCAAAATCATAAAATTCTCGAAATCATCAAATTTTCAAAATCCCCAATCAACAAATCATCAAAAACTTCAAATCACCAAAACCTCAAAAATATCAGATCCTCAAATCATTAAATCCCCAAAACCCTGAAATCCTCAAAATCTGCAAATCACCAAATCCTTAAATACTTAAATGCTCAGAACACAAAATCCTCATCCTAAAGTCGCGAAATTCTAAAAATCCTCAAAATACTCAAATCCGCAAATCAAATCTCCAAAACAAAACGCTCAAATGTTTAAATCCTGAAATTTTCATATTACTAATATCCTCAGAATCCCAAATTCTTCAAAACCCTGAGATTACCTAATCTTCAAACTCGTCAATTATCCAAAATCCTCAAGCAAATCAAACCTTCAAATCGTCGGAAGATCAAATCCTCAAAATATACAAATCTTCAAAATCCACAAAACATCAAATCTTAAATCCCTGAACGAAAATCACCAAATTTTCAATTCTTCAAAATTCTCAAATGCTTGAAATCCCGAAATTCTTAAAATCCGGGAATCACCAACTTCTCAAAAACCAAATCCTCAAAATATTCAAATTCTCAAAAAACTCACATCGGCAAATCATCAAACTCTTAAAATCACCAAATCCTCAAAATCGTTAAAAATCTCAGATCCTCAAATCATTAAATTTGCAACTACTTGAATCACCAAATCCTCACAACATCAAATCTTCAAAATCCTCGGAATCTCAAATCGCCAAATCCTAAAAATCCTCAAATCACCAAATCTTTAAAATCCCCAAAACCCTCAAATCTTCAAAATCCTCAAACTATTAAAATCCGTAAGTCACCGGATCCTCAAACCACCAAATCATCAAATTCTCAAAACTCTCAGATCACCTTCCCAAATCACCAAATTCTAAGAATCCTGAAAATCGTCAAATTACCAAATCCCTAGACTCAAATCATTAAATCCGCATAATACTCAAATCACCGAATCCTCAAAATTTTCAAAACCCCAAATCCTCAGATTCTTAGAATTCCCAAAACCTTCAAATCTTCAAAATCTGTAAATCACCAAATTCTAAAAATTCCCAAATGCTCAGAACATGAAATCTTCAGACCGTCAAAACACCAAATCTTGAAAATCCTCATACTAAAGTCGCCAAATCCTCGAAAGTCTTAAATCCTCCACATATTGAAATATCTCAAAAGTTCTCAAAATCCGCAAATCAAATCTTCAAATCCTCGAAATACCAAATCCTGAAAATCCGTAAATCACCAGATCTTAAAAACATCAAATCCTCAAAATCATAAAATTCTCGAAATCATCAATTTTTCAAAATCCCCAATCAACAAATCATCAAAAACTTCAAATCACCAAAACCTCAAAAATATCAGATCCTCAAATCATTAAATCCCCAAAACCCTGAAATCCTCAAAATCTGCAAATCACCAAATCCTTAAATACTTAAATGCTCAGAACACAAAATCCTCATCCTAAAGTCGCGAAATTCTAAAAATCCTCAAAATACTCAAATCCGCAAATCAAATCTCCAAAACAAAACGCTCAAATGTTTAAATCCTGAAATTTTCATATTACTAATATCCTCAGAATCCCAAATTCTTCAAAACCCTGAGATTACCTAATCTTCAAACTCGTCAATTATCCAAAATCCTCAAGCAAATCAAACCTTCAAATCGTCGAAAGATCAAATCCTCAAAATATACAAATCTTCAAACTCCTCAAACTATTAAAATCCGTAAATCACCAGATCCTCAACACCAAATCATCAAATTCTCAAAACCCTCAAATCATCAACATCTTTAAATGATCGAATCCTCAAATCCTAAGAATCCTGAAAATTGTCAAATTACCAAATCCTTAGACTCAAATCATTAAATCCGCATAATACTCAAATCACCGAATCCTCAAAACTTTCAAAACGCCAAATCCTCGAATTCTTATAATTCCCAAAACCTTCAAATCTTCAAAATCTGTAAATCACAAAATTCCCAAATGCTCAGAACATGAAATCTTCAGACCGTCAAAACACCAAATCCTCAAAATCCTCATACTAAAGTCGCCAAATCCTCGAAATTATTAAATCCTCCAAATATTTAAATGTCTCAAAAATCCTCAAAATCCGCAAATCAAATCTTCAAATCCTCGAAATACCAAATCCTCAAAATCCGTAAATCACCAGATCTTCAAAACACCAAATCCTCAAAATCATCAAATTCTCGAAATCATCAAATCTTCAAAATCCCCAATCAGCAAATTATCAAAAACTTCAAATCACCAAATCTTCAAAAATATCAGATCCTCAAATCATTAAATCCCCAAAACCCTGAAATCCTCAAAATCTGCAAATCACCAAATCCTCAAAATATACAAATCTTCAAAATCTCAAAACTATTAAAATCCGTAAAGCACCAGCTCTTCAAAACACCAAATCATCAAATTTTTAAAACCCTCAAATCACCTTCCCAAATCACCAAATTCTTGGAATCCCCAGGACCCTTTCAAATCCTCATAGTCAAATCATTAAATCCGCATAATATTCAAATCACCGAATCCTCGAAATTTTCAAAACGCCAAATCCTCGGATTCTTTGTCTCAAAAATCCTCCAAATCCGCAAATCAAATCTTCAAATCCTCGAAATACCAAATCCTCAAAATCCACAAATCCTCAAATTCTGTAAATCATCAGATCTTCAAAACACCGAATCCTGAAAATCATCAAATTTTCAAATCTTCAAAATTTCCAATCACCAAATCATCAAAATACTCAAATCACCAAGTCCTCAAAATCTTCACAACGCTAAATCCTCGCATCAAATCTTCAAAATCTTCGGATCCTCAAATCGTCAAGTCCTAGGAATCCTCAAAATCACTAAATCCTTAAAATCTGCAAATCAGCTAAAAATTAAACAATTTAAAAATCGAAGAATTGGAAAACCAAAAAATCTAAACCGAGAACTTGAAAAATCTAGAACTTAAAAATTGAAAAATTAAAATACCTATCGAAAAATTGAAAAGCCGAGAAATCGAAACACCAAAAAATGAAAAAATTGAAGAACCGAAACATTGCAAAATCCCAGAATTGAAATACTGAAAAAGTGAAAAATGAAAGGAAAATTGAAAAATCGAAAAAGTGAAAAAATTCAAAACTGAAATCTTGAAAAACTGAAAAATGGAAAGAAAACTAAAGAATCGGAAAAGTGAAAAAATCCAAAACTGAAACATTGAAAAATTCAGAAATCGAAAACTTGAAAAATTACAATTGAAGAAAAAATTGAAAAATCAAGAAATAGAGAAATGGGAAAATCAAAAAATCAGTTAATCGAAAAATTGAAAAATCGAAAAATTTAGAAACGTCAAAAATTGAAAACTGGAAAATAAAAAAAAATTAAAAATCGTAAAACTGAAATATCGGAAAATTGAGAAATTGAAAAATGAAGAAATTCGAGAAACCGAAAATTTGAAGAATCGCGAAATCGAAGAATCGGTAAATTGAAAAATCCCAATAGTAATATGTCGAAAAATTGAGAAATCGAAATCGAGCAAAACTGAAGTATCGTAAAGTTAATAAATTGAAAAACTGAAAATTTTTGAGAAAAAAATCGTATCAAAAAC